ACGGCTCTTCTCTGCCCTCCTCCCACCGGTTCTCCCTGCTTGCCCGACATTTCTGTTCTTCCCCTGGGTCTCAGTTTAGATGTCGCTTTCCCATCTCCTGAGTTTGCACCGGGGATGCCCCTGCGAGGTTACAGAGCACTCTGCACCCCCTCGATCTTAGCACAGCTGTCCCTGCCTGCTGCCTACCATCACCGCCACCACCACCTGTGACCTCCGTGAGGGCAGCCCAGAGGGCACGATTAGGGTTAAAAACAAACAAAAAAAGCAAGCGTAAATAACACCTACTTTTTTTTTTTTAACCATTGGGTGGCCGAATCAGTATTTTAGAAATCCAAGCAATATTCCTAGAACAAAGAAATTGGAAGGTAGAGATAGAGAAATATTAACTTCTAAAAAGTGTTAATAATAAAAAAGAAAAATAATTTCTAGAAATTGAGTGCCTACTATGTATCAGACAACACAATGAGAATTCATATATACATACATGTAATTGAAACTCTATAACTGGACCTTCAGATAATTCATTATCTCCATTTTAAAGATCAGTAAACTGAGATCATAGAGGTTGAGTAACTTGGCCAGTATCACATAACTAGAAAGTATCAGAGTCTGTTGTGGCTGCCAAGTGCATGCTTTTGTATGTATAAGATACTGAGTAAATGAGACTACTTGAGTCAGCCCATTGGAGTAATCAAGCTGAGAGACTGGTTTCATGTTATTGAACTGGCCACATCCATCTACTTGCTACCTTTGGACTCCAGAGTCCGTGCTTTTCCCACATTCAGCACATGCAGAGATCAGACAAGATCCCTGCCCTCAAATTGCTCACAGTATGGTCAAAATAGGCAAGTTACCAATCGCAACATAGATCCTCAAGGTATCCCTGAGCTCCTGAGGTCCCTGAGGCTCTGCCCTGGGCTCACCCTGAATCTCTCCCCTCCAGTACAGACACGCCACCTTGCTCCGACCCTCTCAGTTCCATGGGGATCCATGCAGATTCTCTGACAAGGAAGCCGAAGACTGTGTCACCAACGCACCCTGCCGAAGTCAAGTGCGATGCGAAGGCTTCGTGTGTGCACAGACAGGTAGAAAGGGGCACTGGAGTGGGAAGCAAGAGCTGGCAAGTCAGGCCATGGCATGGGATGCTGGTGGCACTGGCCATTGCCTCGTGCTCAAGCTCAGGGTCATGTGTCAGGCCAGGAGGCTTCCTTGTCTTCAAATCTCTGCCTCCTTTTACATGTATCACTTCATAAAAACAATCCTATAAAGCGGGTGTTGTTATTACTCTCCCCATTGTATGCATTAAGAAACTGAGACTTGCAGAAGTTCCCTGCCGAAGGTCACGCAGCAGGTAAGTGGAAAAGCCGCAGTTAGAAATTTGGGAATTCAAATCACATTCTCTGACATTATGGACACCAAAAGGATGTGTGCTGGAACCGGAAACCCTGAGTCAAGTCTCACTTTGACTTTGTGACCCAGGAGAAGTCACTTCATGTTGGTGTGCTCAACAAAAAATCAAAAGCGATGTTAACACCTTACAAGTTTTTATAAGGATCACATGGCAGGATGGGTATGAAAGCTCTTTCAGAGGGTGAGCTCTGCTGGCTCTCTCAGAGGCAACATCTGAAATGGCTAAATAAGGCTGCTTAGCACCACTGATCTCTGAAAAACCTTTGGAAAGATAGCTCTTGCCTCTGCATTTCTGTATCACCAAGTCCAGCATGGCCCCTAAAATGCATGATACAGTCAGTAAAACATTCTTGACTAAAGGGAAAGA